GAAATACCTCCCGCCGAACTATGAATATTTTTTTTTTCCCTCTCCTCCACAGCTCAGTGCCTCTTCCACTCTTCAGATATCTAGACCCACTCCTCATCCATGTCTGTCTCTTGACATGATGGCAAGATCTTTGTTTTCCCTTAGAGACCACACCTCTCTATCGTTGTTTCCCTCTTTCTCTTGAAATCTCTCTCCACTTCTTTGTCTCCGCCGCATCGTCTCTCTTCCCTCTGCGAGCCTCGTCAATGCTCGCCAAGGCTTGTCAACGCTCGCCGAGCCTCGTCAACACTTGCCGAGCCTAATCCTAGTTTGCGATCATGGTTTCTCTCTCCCATGTTTTTTTGATGGTTTCTCTATCGTGTTTTCCATACTTTCCCCTTGTTTGTTGATGTTGCCTGTCATCGCTCACCGAGCCGTCTCTCTTTCCTCCGTGAGCCTCGTGAACGCTCGTCGAGCTTTCTCTGCATGCTACACTACCGATGTTCCCTTTGCACAGCCCATGTTCCTTCCCCTGTGTTGCCAACTTGGTATCGGCCACTCAAGCCCTATCACTGTGTTGCCGCTTTGGTATCGACCTCTCACGCTCTATCTCTGCTCAACCAGTGTTCTCCCTTCTTAAGCCCAATCTTTTTCTTTGATTTTACTGTTGGTCTCTATCTTCTTTGCTATTCTTTTGTGTTGCCTTTCTTCTTCACTGTTACTGGTATTGTCTTCTTTTCTTCATAATTCTTTTATATTGCTGGGGTATTCTCTTCTCTTCTTTTCAATTGTGTTTTCTCTCTCCTCTCATGGGTTGTCTCTGGCATCTTGAGTTTTCTTTTTTCCACGAGCCCATGCGCTCCTTCGTATCTTGTGTTCTCTCTCCCTCTCTTAACTATTTACTCCTTTTGATGGGTGTTCACTTTTCACCTCTTTTTCTCTCCTTTTTCCATCTTTATTTTGAAAGGATTTTCTCTCTAGGTGTTTTGTCCACACTCTCTTTTCATTTCTCTATCTCACTTGGTTTTCTACTTTATTTCTTCTTATTATGTTTTGGATCAATGATCCCTCTTTATTTTAATCTCTATGGGCCTCTATGCTCTTGTGATGATCTTTTCTTTATTACTTCTCTGTTCCCATGTGGTTTTCTTCCCCATACCTTATTTTATTGTTTCTATGGTGCTTTGAAATTCAAACTTGCCCATGCTCACTTTTTCTTTTCTTTGTGTCCCAAGTTGGTTTCACCTCCTATCCTCTACTACTGTGCCACACCCTCTCTTAACCCCATTATTCCCTTCAAATATTCCTTCTGCTCTCTCTGCACTCATCCCTTTCTGCTTACCATGTGATAAATTTTCTTTTGTTTCCAATTTTTTTTTTGGGCAACTTTTTTTTTCTACATGGCTACTTCTTTTCTCGCTTACCACATACTCTTTATCCTACCTAGAGGGTGATTCCTAGGTAGAGTTATGTTTCTCAGGTGCCTACAGTTGTTTCCTAGGTCCATTTGACTTGTATGTCAGCTCATCATTTTATTCATTCCTTCCATGAGCCCATACGCTTCACTTCATTCCTTTCAATGGGCGTTATGTTTACTTTGTTTCTCTCATGCCGTTGTTGCAACTCTGGAGATTGGAGTTCATCTTTTTGGCTCCCCTTACTGGAATACTACAATCAACTACTGCCGCCATCTCCATTGCTATGTAGTTTCTTCATTCAAATCTTGCTATGCTGTGTGGCTCGATTTGCGGGGGAGTATTAGGAAGTTACAATAGTATTTCAGTTACAATAGTTAATCCTATTGATTATAGGAAACGGTGAGTTGTCAGTTATGTTGTTATTAGGCCATAACTCCATATTTATGTTTATGATAATGACTTGTTGTAACTTCAGATTATTCTCTACAGACTTGTATATAAATATTGTATAATGATCATATGAATAATATAAGGGAAAATCAGTTTCTACATGGTATCAGAGCTAATAGTTAACGCCGATTAGCGATCCTCTAGTTGCCAACATTAAGAGTCGTTGGCACTCCTCACCCGTAAGGGTTTTGTTTCTGTATAGTCCTTTTTCCGCTCCTCTTCTCAAAGATGAATATTGTTTTTTTTTCCCTCTCCTCCACAGCTCAGTGCCTCTTCCACTCTTCAGATACCTAGACCCACTCCTCATCCATGTCTGTTGATAGGATTTTTAGTACCTGCGCAAACAGGGTTAAAATCACTGAAAATACTTGCAAGAATACAAGGTAGTTGTAGTATAAATGCTCATGCAAGGTCGTTGTCTCCAAGGATTGTTTGACCAATTTGTAATTAAACTAACTCTTAATTAATAGTTAAAATAGATTTTATCACAGAGTTGAAATTTATGAATTTGAAAAGATTGAATTAACAATAAAAGAAATCGAAAAGTTGGGAAATTGAAGAAAAACAAGTTTTAAAAACCAATTAATAAAAGCACTAGGGTTTAGCCATCACCGTCACAATCCTATGCAATTTTATCAATTACTTATGATCTGCACATGCCACTTTGAAGGTTAGGTTTTCCTAATTTATATTCTACTTGGAACCTCCAACATAGAACGTATATCTAAAATGCAACCCGTCCGGACGTTCGGATCAAATCTGAACATGAAAGACTCATTACGTTTTGTGAAAACCCTTCGAAAAACCATGCAACCCTTAAGACGTGGTGTTCAACTTAAGTGAAATTACAATTATTAATCACAAGAAGCCAACGTCAATTTCAGGGAACCTTCCGACCAAAATTGCATCCAATTACTTTTCTAAAGATCCTAATGGTGATCAAGTATTAAGACAATTAGATAGTTTAAAACAGTGATTAACAATTCAAAGTACGCATGCAATCAATCATAAGCAATTAAATAAAAATCACATATTCATGCTAAGGTTCAAGGCTTCACCCTAGCAAAAGAGAATTAGTTACGCATGCTCATAATTAAAATAAAAAATATATATCATTCGAATGAATAAGAATAAAAACACCTTGAAGTAGAAGTTCTTCCAAAAACCCCAGCAAAAGTCGCGTTCAAAAGCCCAAAAGAGAGATCCCTAAAAATTCTCTGAAATAGAACTTAAATACTCCCACAAACAAGCTGCCCACAACCAACTTTTCTATCCCCACAAGGAAACTAAATAAAATAAAATAATGACATGACATAAAATCCAAATTGGACTAGGAGAATCTGTCCATAATCTGCCCAGCCACGATTCGGGCCCAAATCTCCTCCAAATCCGGCCCAATATAGCTTGTTTTAAAGATAAAAATGTTTTGAACACTTCTCCAAAATGCCACAAACCCATCTGAGGTCATCTTGGGCTCCAAAAACGCAATAAAGGCCCAAAACGTCACTATTCCAGCACCGCACACTGCTCCTTTATTTTATTGCTAGAAAATAACCGCTTGGTAGAAAAATCTGAAAATTTTGATACGATCAAGCTAAGTGACTCACGAACGTCCTCCAACTGGAATTACTCCAAAATTCGTTCATTTGATTATGTTTTGCTCCAGAGGAAGTCGAAAGTCCTATATTAGAAGTATAATTCAAAGTATCAAAATTCTTCCAAAATATTAGCTAAAATATACTAAGAATAGAGTTAAATATATAATATAAAATATGCTCATCATCTGTCTCTTGACATGATGGCCAGATCTTTGTTTTCCCTCAGAGACCACACCTCTCTATTGTTGGTTTCTCTCTTTCTCTTGAAATCTTTGTCCACTTCTTTGTCTCCCTCGCACCGTCTCTCTCGCCAAGCTGTCTCTCTTCCTTATGCGAGCCTTGTCAATGCTCGCCTCATGTATTTCTGATGGTTTCTCTATCGTGGTTTCCATACTTTCCTTTTGTTTGTTGATGCTGCTTGTCATCGCTCACCGAGCCGTCTCTCTTTCCTCCGTGAGCCTCGTCAACGCTCGCCGAGCTTTCTCTGCCATGCTACACTATCGGTGTTCCCTTTGCACAGTGGAGCCTTGAGCATCAAGAAAGGCCAGTCTCTTTATTGTTCCTCCATTTTCTGCCTCAAGTTTTCTACATTTTTTTGTTAGGTGCTTAAGATCAAACTCGACCATATATCTTTGTGGAGGCAAAATTAGATTAAAGATGTATGAGAGAAAAGCATGTAGACATTTTTAGTTAGATTTTGTTCTTCGCACAAAAATGTGTGCCGTATTGGCATATAAACATAAGAACACACCACAAAATAAAGGATTCAAATTAAACTCTTTTCTTTGGTATTTATAGTGATGACCGTACAAGTCAGTTGTAAAGGTTGTTAGTTTATCACATGCATGGGTAGCACGTGTTCTAGTTACTGTTAAGCTAGTTTACTTAAGAGCTCTAAGCTTGGAAGCTCAGGTGCAAGAGAATCAGAGCAAGCTTAGGAATTTGGGAACCATGTCCAACAGGTTACATACAAAAATTGATAAAAAAGACAATGAAGTTATGGCTCTGAGGGAAAAATTGGGTGAAATAGATGGGTGGGAAAATAGAACAAAGATGAAAATAGCGGCACTCTATCATTATTATTACTATTATTAAATGCAAAAACAGTGTTTGCGTAAATTAGCCAAATGAAAACACTCTTACAACATCTATTGCCTTAGGGGTCAAAAGACACTTAATATTTTTAGCAAGCAAATTTGACTTCTTTAGTATTGTCATATACAAAAAGGGCCAAGGCCGAAGAAAAGCAGTTTAAAAAAAACTCAAAACAAAGCACAACTCTTAAACGACAATAAATTATTGAGTGTTACAAAGTCCAAAACAAATTCAGAGCAGTCCACACCTTGACATTGGAAGGGAACGAACCAAGGACGACAAATAGTAAACAATCGAAAACAACAAAGCAACGCAAACACAAACAAAATACCCACACAAGATAAGGAAAAAAAAAAGTAGTTGGTTCATTTGCTTATTACACTCTTTTTTTTTTCTTTTTTTTTTTATATGTCGTAGTTTTGGCTAATTTAATTTAAGTTTGTCCCATCCAGTTGGGCCCTTAGCTTGTGCACGACGGTGGCACCAGAATGCCTGTAAAGAAGAAGCTGCAAAATGCTCCAATTGAGAACGAGGAAGCTCCCTCTGAAAATGCCACCAAAATTGAGCGACAATTGACTTGAAGTTGTGGGCCCTAATTGAAAATGCTTCAACTTTTGTTTGGGACATAAGAGTTGTAGTGGAGATAGGTAACTCAGAAAATGAGCAAAATTTGAATGCCCAATTTATAAGTTCTTCTCAATAGAAATCACTTTTCTCAAGGGACTTGCACACATTTGTTCCACCCTTAGTAGTTGTGTAGGTCAATGCAGTGCCTCTTGTGATGAAAAGCATCTTTCGAAGTGGTTCTCCCTCTCGAATGATATAAACATCCTCGCCATAAGTCACCGGCTTAAGATTCTTGCAGATTGCTTTTAACACTTTCTCATCTCTACTTTCAAGCAACGGCACCTACCAACCAATCTCGTATAATTTATTGGTGTTGAACAAAATTTAATAGAAAGAATCAGAGCAAATTAACCCAACTACTTACTTTCTTTAGTGAAGCCAAGCCAAGACGGTGCTTATTACGTATTTGCTCTACCATGTCTGGATATAAAATTTCAATCTTCTGTCGCAATTTGAGGTGATTCGACATTTTTTTCGATCCCTGTATATAATTATTAATTTTATAGATACACAAGAATTAATACGGAAATTTATATGGAGGAGCTTCAAGTTTAAAGACATAAATTTAGTTTAGAATATCACTTTGTCAAACAAAAAAAGGACATCAATTTTGTTTAACCACCAACCTGCACCCTTGAATTGAGATACACTAAAAATAGTGCCAAGCCACTTATAGAGATCAGAATCGAAAAGATGATTTCGTCCTTAAAGAAACTCGTCTGGAGGTTTGAACCAAAAGAACTGCAAAAAGAAAATGAAAAAGCAATATATTTGATAAGTTTATATCGCAAGTTATAATGAAAATTCCATCTGCTACCTAGCTCAAAGTGGGAGATCATCATGAAAAGTTAAAAAGCCTTATAAATATACAAACCTCAGATTTCTCAGGCCCCACCAAAAACATTGCAACATCTTCAGTGGAAGATCTCTTGTGCTTGTCATATTAGATTGGAGAGCGTATAGATATATACCAAAATCGAAAGGTAAACTTGTTATATTTGCTGAAAGTTGTACAGCACATGACTTTTGTAGAAGGGAGCTACTGAACATCATATTGTTTTGTGGAGTGGAGCTACTGCAATAGAAGAATTCATAAAACGTTTCACGACCACAAATATTATTAAATTTACAAACATGCTCCACCCAACAAACTACTTTTCGGTCCACAGCCAAAAAGTACCACAAGGCTCCGAATAGCTGAAAAGGACCGACAAGTACATAGTTAATAATCAAAGTGCCGTTAAACCAATCTTAAAATTAATTAAATACACCATAATATTAAATCAAAATGTAAAATTAATTAAGTATAACCTATTTAACTACTAAACATACTTTGATACACCTTTATACACTCTATCACACTGCACCAATTCAATACCCTAAACCAAATCCGATAATCTTCTCATTGGAAGCTCTTTGGTAATGGAAGCTCTGGGATTTCCTTATCTCAACACCCACAGCATTTGGTGCTCTAGTTTTCAGAAACAAAGAACAACCAAAATATCATGTCAAAGAGAACTCTTTTCAAGCATTTCACATCTATCTTCGCTAAAACTTGGACCCTCTTACAGACTATTCCATGTTGTATGTAAATTCTGCACCTTTTTCATGTTCTACTAGCAAATCGTTCTTTGAGATTAACCCACATCGCATGAGAGGTCTGACTACCAATAACGCAGGAAAGATAATTAACATCGCTTTCGAATAAATAAAATAAGAGTTTTTTTTTTAAACCCCACACTTTTCTTTGTTCATCCTAATACTTAAATCATTAAGCTCTTAAGTTTTATTATTGTGTAGAAAGACAGAAAAGGTCATCCAACTTAATACCACACACCCCACCACTCTTCATATTAAGTTTTAGAAAAACACAAACTCCTCCACACCTTTATTTTATCAAACAAATAAAGTATGACCAACACCCTCTTTTTCCATTTTGAAATATGGAATTAGAATTTGAAATTCTATTATATAAATTCCAAACAGCAAAGGGTCTCAATATCTAGTTTCTCTTATGCAAATTAAGAACAAGTTGATTATTTTTTTCTTTAAATGTGGAAGATAAGATTGAAACTTACATGAGCAGCAATGACGAATGGAAGGAAGTCCAGAGCCGCTTTAAGAAATCTGTTTACTGCGGTCTGTATGTCAGCATGTTGAACGAGCCATCGGTAGAGGTTATAAGCCCGTAGAGTATATTGGATTAGAATTAGATAAAATACATCATTGTAAATGCTAATAAGGTATGTATAATATCCAATGAGTATGACTGCCTGGACATATTTAAAGCCAACAGTTAAAATTTGATTACTGTGTGTAACCAATATTAAATCATTGTTAACATATAAAGATAAATGTTTATAGATGTTGAGAAATAGGCAAGATAATATTCCAGTTGTTGACAGCATAACTCTAGCATGAGTAGCTTTGTTTTTATTTATTTATTAAAATTATATTATTTACAAGATAAGATAGCTGTAGCTTCTCTTAGGTACGATCTTATATACCTGTAGAATGGGAAGAGCAGCACAAATGCGAGGTACAATGCCTAAGAACCTAAGTGATTTCTTGCCATTCAACACCTTCCAAATTTTGGAATCAGGACCGCCAAAATGCTTTGTCCAGGAGGCCCCAAATGGCTTGGCATTAACATTGCCGTGACGTGGTCGCTTTATGAAAACGAAAATGTCCATTCCATAAAATAGATCGCCGGCTGATCGTAAGGCCAAAAATGTCCACATCAAGGTTTGGTCCCAATAGCAGCACGTGCTATCGTCGATGATGATGGGAACGTAGCAGCTAAAAGGATCAACAAACACAGCAAATGCAGATGATACGGTAAATATGACATCCCACTTTGCTGCAGCACTACTTATTCTTCCGTGTCCTCCATCTTCCTTGAGCTTGGAAGATTCCCCCTCCTCATCTGGATTACTGAACAAGACACAACAAATTAACATTGTTGACGCTCTTTTTGGGAGGGTGGATTGGATTAAAGCCATCTACAAGACTACGATACATGCGTGATCCTAATAAAACATGTTTAAAGCCACTGCAAATGCGAGACCTTATTGTTTCATAAAACATCTACTTAATGAAAAAGAAAAATCTTCTCAAGAAAATGAAAAAGAAAAAGGTCTTAGAGTACATAAAGAAATTAACCTCAATTCAATTGATACTTCATCAACCGGATTGATCATGTCTCGAGCTTATTTGTGACGCAAGATCCTCTCTGAAGTGTATGAATTATTCACAAACCCAAGTAGCTCGCTCTCGTTAAACCGCAGTTAATTAGCTCCAAATAATATTGAGTACGTACTCCTGCGAATATATAGAAAAGTTTAATTATATATAGAAAAGTTTTCCTAAAAAAGAAAAGAAAAAAAGTTCTGAGAGTTAGAGAAAGAAACTAACTATTCAATCAGGAATTAAAGGGAGAAAAATAGCTAACCTTATGGCTGTTGAGTCCGATCCGCCATAACTCAAGCTTATTGATGATAAATAGGATGTCCTATGAACTATGAGCAGCAGCTAGGAGCTTGTTAAGAGTCTATTATGTGTGTGGAAAACTAAAAGTTGGATATCATTATCAAAGTAGGAAAAGTCAATTATGCGTGTGGAAAAGTTCTTGAGGAAAAGTCAATTACTTGTATCTCCCTATCAACGCAGGGACGAATCCAGGATTTCGAAATACACTGGGCTGGATTTCCCTTATAAACAAACTCGACGGTACGAGTGAATTTCATTGATAACAAAAATTATATACCTAATCAGGGGGGACATATTGAGCCATACCCTCAAAATGCATATAGTACATAAGATATAAACTAATAAAAAAAGACAATATAGAATAAACATGCAATGCAAATACATAATACAACTATTTGAGTTGCACCCTTCTAGGCTTGAAAGAGTTGAAATCACTAAATAAACATGCAATCCCATAGTTTTTTACAACAAAAATAAGGAAAAAACAAATGCAAACGACATCATGGCAATATAAATACTCTCAGCTTCCCCACGAAATTGTGATGTAAGTCCATTACGACCTATTTCATCAAGAAGTGTCTTGGTTGCACCAAATAAATAAATCAAACTTTTGATAGAACTAGAATGAGACCCCCAAGAAATGTCTTGGCTTCTTTGCGTTTTCACCCTCATGAATTGATGCTTTCTGTCCCACTCAAGTAGTTTTGACTCTGTTTACTGTGAATG